GGCACCTCTGTGTGTCTCATTGGTCAGGATTGGTCACATGACCAGCACTTGCCGCAAAGGAGGCTGGGAAGGTGATTCATTGGTCTTTTCGGCCTCTGGGGTGGGAGGTGGGTCAGGCTGTTGGGAACGGGCGTACAGAGCCACAATGTTCCCTGTATCCGGTGCATCTTCCCCCTTTAAAATATTTTGTAGCAGTGAGACCCCTAATCTATTTGTCAGTGCAAGGCGGGAATACATAACCAAATGTGCCTCTAGAAAGGAATTTTAATCTGCTCATGGCTGAAAACTTAAAATTTTACAGCAAAAGTTTGAATTCTCTGTAAACGACAGAGATGAAAAGGTCGGCATTTAAATCCGTTTCCTTAACAGATGGCTCCCACAGTGAGCCGAGATCGGAATTCACTTTCTGGGCTCAGCCACTCTCCATAAAGCTGGTCGTGCGGTTTATGACATCAGCAGAGCCCCAGAGTGAATTACAGCTTATCCTTGTATTCACCGTGGTGCCATCTATTAAGCTACTGTGTGTAATGTTGATTAGGAAGGTGTCTTTGATAGCTCAGTGGAGGAAAAAGCGCTCATGTTAGAGGCCTGAATTACAATAATGGTTAAAGACAAAGGTACATAAAGAGAGGGTTGGACATTAACAGCCTTTTGCATTTTTGTATGTCTGTATGTGAAAAGGAAGAATAAGATTACATCACGTCATTAAAAATAGAAGCACTCCACGTTTATGAACAAAGACTTCCCTGTCCCTCCCCGCAAACAATTCCTAGTTGAGATCTATGTATCTCCTTAATAAAGACCTGCTATTTACCTAATGCTGGGTGAAACACACACACTTAAAGCCCATAATTTTCGACTCTTGAAAAAAGAGCTCTCTATCACTCTTGGCCCTGAAAGTCAAGGTGATAGATCGAAGGTCACTACTACAAAACAGAAGGTCACAGTGTATCTTCTCCACTTGAATCTACTGGGTTGGCATCACTTGAAGCTGCCATTGGTTGTAGCTGGGACATTTTTTGAGTAATAAAATTCTAGAAATGGTATTTGTGTTAACATTGTTTGGCCAGGAAGAGTTAAGATGCAAATAATTGTTGTAAAGACAAGCCTCTTCCATTAAACTCTACATAGTGCTTCTCAAATTTTGGGGTACCAGATGCTTAGACCTTTTGTCAATTTGCTGAATCAGTCTTGGAAGGTGGGGCAGAGACACCTGTATTTTTAATAAGTTCCTCAGGGAATTCTGATGCATCATACAGAAGTGCTGTGTTTCTGCCAAGGAGCTTTTTTTAAAAAGTCTTCATCATATCCTAGATGCATTTGCCAGCTGCTGCGCTCAGCCTTAGGGGTTAGACCTACCCAGCGTGGTATCCACTGGCCACATGAGGTTATTTCAGTTTTAATTTACATTAATTAGAATGAAATAAAATAAAAATTTAGTTCCTCAGCTGCATTAGCCACCAAGTGTTCAACAGCTATGTGTGACTTAGTAGATAACATACTGGACTGCAAAGGTCTAGAACATTTTCATCATTTCAGAAAATTCTATTGGACAATGCTGGACTAGACAATGAACAAAACAGATACAATTTCTGCCCTAATGGATAAAACAGATCAGTCTCCCTTGCCCTAATAAACTGACAAATCAACAACTACAAATTCTATTTTATGAAGGAAACCAAGAGCTGTGAGCAGGACTGGTTATATGATTTGTGGGGCCCAGTGAAAAGTGAAAATGCAGGGCCTCTTGTTAAAAACATTAAGAATGCCAAACAGCTATAGCAGAGCCTGAAACCAAATACCGGGCCTCTGAGCAGAAGCTGTCCACCCAGCAGGGCTGCAATATACCCAAACCAAGGAAGTGGGGCTAAGGTGGTCACAAATGCTCCTCCTGGAAAGTGACCATATGAGGTGGAAAAGAGGAGAAAGAGCTAGAAATGCAAAACACACAGGAAAGGAGGTTTTGGACAAAGGGAACAGCCTACACAAAGGCCCCCCGAGATGGGAAAGATGGAATATTCCAGAACCGGGAAACGTTCCAGAGTGGTCAAGGGAGGGAAGAAGAGCAGGGGTCAAGGTGGAAAAGCCAGCCGTGGTTGTTCCGTGGCAGCGGGGTGCTGTGCAGTTCACCCCCAGGCTCACTGGCATGGTTCAGCCCACCGCCCCACTTCTGGTTTCCTCCGCGAGCCCGTAAGCATCCCTAACTAGTCAGGGATCCTGATCAGGCAGGATGAAATTCTATTTTTTACTTTGAAGACACGAGGGGAGAGAGAGAGAGAGAGGCACAGGAAATTATTTGCTTTGATTCACAATCTGGTGCGGTAGCAGGTTAAGGAAATGGGTGAGATCGCGGTGGGTTGTGAGCACAAACCGGCTTTCAGAGCCTCCCTCTGGGGGGCAGCGCTGGGCGGAAGATTCGTGACTCTCCCATGTGTTGGAGAGAAGCGTCGCCTTGCACACACGCTACTTCCCGAAAAGGTGTTTCATCAACAGAAATGCTGATTCTCTGGCTCCCTGATGCTATATTTAGAAGTGACATTTACATTTCCACAAATCAACAGCCCTGTTCGGATACAGTTCCAAGAGTTTCGCTGTGACAGGGAATATGCTGGCTATTTTTCCCTGTTCCCCTTTCTTAGCTGTTGGGCGTTAGCAAAATTAGGAGACACCTGTAATTTGCTAGATAAAAATAGTCCAATATGACAAATCTGTAAATTTTTAAAGAGGTCACAGTGTAGTATCCTGACTTTCAAAAGCGCTTTGGGGAAAATTTGTCTGATAGTTTGTCTCATTCATTTGAAAATACCTTTATAGACTCTAGATAAAACCTCCTCAAAAGCTTTTCCATGTTTTTTGGGGGGGGAGGGGAGGGGAGTGGACACTAATTTTGAATCTGAGTTTCTGATACCGTAGATGGCTTACATATTGATAGGTTGAATTCAGAGGGAAACTTTTTTTATTCATCAGTAAAACATAATTTTACTGAGGCTTTGTGTCTGTGGTGTGCTGTGTATGTGCATATTACTTTGCGTCTGATGGCATTTAAATGTTTTAGGTATTATTTTTTGACATGTTTCCTTCTTGGCAAAATAGTTCTCATAGCTATTGATAAAAAAGGAACAGATCCAATATCTTACTTGTCAAGAGGGTGGAAAAAATTGGAAAAGTAAAGATAACCATGGGTGTCCATTAATCTATGGGGTTACTGATTTGTCTTTGGTAGTGATATCCTTCAGTCTTCTGGAACCTGATCAAGGGACCCATAAAATTATGAGCTTGGGTTACCATCAGAGGGCAGTGTGCGTTCTCTTCAAGAGCCCATAGAAACCACACGTTTCTCTGCTGTGGCTAAAAGGATTTATCTGGCAAAGGGCAAACCCATTAGGCATAAACAATCAGCATTTTTTGCTGTTGCCTGTCATAATGGAAACAATGATTTGAAAGTTCTGATTAAACCTGCAAGATTTCCTATCTAGTATAATATGTCTTTAAGCGTATGCTTTTCAAAGTTATTATTTTTTTTTAATTTCCAAGGGTTCTAAACAAACAAGAGTTAGACCTGGACAACTTTTTTAGGACTTTGGTATTTAATAGAAAAAGCTCACTTTAATCTCAGCGTCACAGCCCTCATTGGAACACAGATGGTCAGTAAATTTTAGGTCTTTATCAAAACAATACCCAAAGTTAAACATTTTCCTAAAAAAGGAAAAAACAAGTTATGATTAGTTCTACAATGTGCTAGAAAATTCTCATCCACCAATATCTAATGCATGTATGAGGAATTAGTGAATAACTTCATCTGTCATGGTTTTTCTGAGAGGCATAAAAAAGCAAACCGTACATATGAGCGTTGGAGACAAGTAAACAGAGGCCAGAGAACACATGTGCAAAAATCTGAGTATTTGCATTTAAAATATGGCCTGCTGTGACTTCGTTGACGATCAGAATTTGATTCATCTGTGGGCATAAAGTCTTTGTGTTGGAGGGTGGACCTGGAATTGGGAAAATTAACGACTGCGTCAGCGCAGGAGCCAGCATCAGCTCGCGGTTCAGGTGTGAGACTATAGGAAAGGGTCCGGTAGACTCGTCCTTCAAACACTTCAGCAAATAAATCGTTTGCTTTACAACTTTAGGAGCAGCTGCCAGGGGCAGCGTTGTTTTCCTGCTGACTGCGGCAGACTGAGCACTTCTGCTGGGGTTTCTCTAGAGGGCAGTAAGGATTCGAGGCTCTTTCCCTATTTTTCTGAAATGCCTGATCCTCATGCTGCGGCTGCCACGGTCAGGGAACTCAGCGCATGCTCTGGGGCTGGAGCGAACTGCCAAACGCTCCGGGAAGGAGCCGCCGCCGCCTCTTATGTCCTCCAAGATGAGATTTTGTGACTATTTCCCCCTTTTCAAAAAGAAAATCTGGGTTTATTAATAGAGTGTAACCATCAATACAACATACTGTGCTGCCCCTAGTTGCTCAGTCATGGCAGACTCTGTGACCCCATGGACTGTAGCCCGCCAGGCTCCTCTGTCCATGGGATTCTCCAGGCAAGAATACTACAGGGGGTCGCCATGCCCTCCTCAAGGGGATCTTCCTAACCCAGGGATCGAACCCTGGTCTCCTGCATTGCAGGCAGATTGTTTACTGTCTGAACCACCAGGGAAGCCCAAGAATGCTGGAATGGGTAGCCTATCCCTTCTCTAGGGGATCTTCACCACCCAGTAGTCAAACTGTGGCTTCCTGCATTGCAGGTGGATTCTTTACCAGCTGAGCTACCAGGGGAGCCCCAATACTATACACACACACACACACACACACACACATATATGTATTTATGTGTATATATATATATGAATGGTTGACAAAAGATTTGAAAATTAAAATTAAATGCCTCCTGGATGGTGCCTTGATGGCTGGGTAAAACAGGAATGATTAATCTAGACAGAATCGCTGGGAAAGAGAAATCAAAATAACCCAGTGGTCCTCAACCTGGGTGCACTTTTTTTTCTAGGGTTCATTTACAGGCGTCTTAAGAAGCTTGTTTACTCGGTTGCTTGGGTCTTAATTGCGGCACTTGAGACCCTTCCTCGCAGTGCAAGGACCGTCTGGCTGTGGTGCTCAAGGTCAGTAGTTGCAGGGCCCGGGCTTGGCTGCTTCTCGGCAGGTGGGATCTTAGTTCCTCCACCAGGGATCGAACCCACAACCCCTGCATTGCAAGGTGGGTCCTGAACCACTGGACCGCCAGGGAAGTCCGTTAGAGACATTTTTGACCATCAGATCTGGGGGTATTTGATGGGTAGAAGCCAGTGATGCAGCTAAAGATCCCACCATGCACAGGATGGCCCCCATCACAAAAAATTACTTGGTTGGAGGGGGCGACAGAGGATGAGATGGTTGAATGGCATCATCGACTCAATGGACATGAGTTTGAGCTAACTCTGGGAGACAGTGAAAGACAGGGAAGCCTGGCGTGTTGCATTCCATGGGTTCACAAAGAGTCGGACACGACTGAGCCACAGAAGAGCAATGCCAATAGCACAGAGGTTGAGAAGCCCTGACGCAAACAATTGAGTCACCAGGAAGGGACTGTGAAAACAGATCATAGGATGCTAAAGAAAAGCTCGTTTTTATTTTCACTGTGTTAGTCTCTGAAGATAAAAAGCCAGGAAGTCTGTGATATCCAAAATTGTTTTTCTTGTGCTTCCTAGGAAAAGTGTGAAGTTCTCAGACCCAAGCAAATTCGAGCCCACTAGGCAGGAGGAGACATTTAGGTGGATCGACTGAGCTCTAGGAGAATGCCATTTTGTGTGCTGCTGTGAGCTGGGGGCTGGTCTCTGCTGCAGTCCCCTAGATGCAAGCCCTCCGGACACTAATTGTTTTTAAACTGCAGGTTCAGCAGAGAAGTGCTGATGTGTCAGAGCAGAAACATCTTCTTGGGAAGGGTCTCAGAATGGCATATGTTGCGAATGGCAGGCTTTGGTTGGGCATCTCTATGGCTGCAGCTCTCAAGCAAAGGTGGCTTTGTTCCCCAGGAAACACTTGACAATGTCTGGAGATCTGTTTCAGCTGGCACAACAGGGGTGCCGCTGCTGTGGACAGGCAGAGGCCGGGGTGCTGCTGGGACCCTGCAAGAACAGGGCAAACCCCTCCCCTCCCCCAGTGCAGAGTTACCAGGCCCCAGGTCTCAGCAGAGCCAGAAGGAGAAAGCTTGTTCTGAGGCTCCTGGCTTTGCATAATACATCATAATACATTCACTTTTTCAGACATTGCTATTTATGTTTGGCCATGCTGGGTCTTTGTTGCTGCGAGTGGGCTTTCTCTAGTTGCGACGAGCGGGGGCTACTCTTGGCTGTGGTGCGCGGGGTTCTCATCGCGGTGCCTTCTCTTGTTCAGAGCATGGGCTCCAGGTGCAGGGGCTTCAGTAGTCGCAGCAGGCGGGCTCAGGATTGGCGGCTCGCGGGCTCTGTATTGTGGCGCAGGGGCTTAGCTGCTCTGAGGCGTGTGGGATCTTTCCGGACCAGAGACCTAGCCCTTGTCCCCTGCACTGGCAGGTGGATTCTTATCCACTGTGCCACCAGGGAAATTCCATAATACGTTTTCCTTCTCTTCCTGCTCCAGAATCAGAAGTCTCACTGTTGATGAACACTTTCTGTCCTCAGACATTCTGCAGATGATTTGCTTGTAGGGGCAAAGAGTGGGAGTTACGGGCACTGTACTAGTAAGATTGAGCCATGTACTGCCAGGCTTTTAAGGGACAACTCAGTGCAGAGAAATGGGCATTTAGACAGAGAAAGCGGGTTAGGGACCTGTCATTTTGGGATTAGTCATTTTGGAAACTCAGTTTTCTGAAGACCCAGGTTCAGGGCCAGTCTTTGCAAGAACTGGAAGGTGACATGGCGTGGCAGAAATCCAGGGGTGAGTGGAGGTGTTGACTGGCAGGAGAGAGATGGAGAAGACGACGTGAGGTGGGGTGGGGGGGGGTGGAGCTGAAGAGCTTCTCTGACTTTCTTAAAACAAGACCCTTTGTCCTGATACGCACCATTCCCTTCCTGTGCGTCATTATTCATTATTCTGACAGCATTTCTTATCGTATGTATTGTCTCTTTCTCTCCTAGGTTGAGATTTCCATGAGGGAAGGGACTTAGTTTTATTTTTTTTCCCCCACTTTTGTCTTCCATACTTAGAAAAATGCCTGGTATATCGGTGTTCAATAAATGCTTTTTGAATGCATAAATATATAGTTTGGCCCTTTGGGATCAGGTTGCTGTCTCTTATCTGAACCCATGAAGGAGATGTAAAGTCTCTTTTACTTATAATTTTCCGCTGTTTGGTTTTCCTGCCCATGGAGACAATGAAAATGTATGGTAGTAACAGTAATAGTACAAAATAAAATGTAAGTCACGAATGTAATTAAAAATTTCCTAGCAGTCATATTAAAAGGGTAAAAAGGAAAAGGTGAAATTAATTTTAATAATACATCTTATTTTTCCAATATATTAAAAATATTAACATGTAATCAATATGAAAGAATTAATGCCTTTGAACTGTGGTGCTGAAGACTCTTGAGAGTCCCTTGGACATCAAGGAGATCAAACCAGTCCATCCTAAAGGAAATCAACCCTGAATACTCATTGGAAGGACTGATGCTGAATCTGAAGCTCCAGTAGTTTGGCCATCTGATGCTACGAGCCAACTAATTGGAAAAGACTGTGATGCTGGGAAAGATTGAAGGCAGGAGGAGAAGGGGACAACAGAGGATGAGATGGTTGGATGGCATCACCGACTCAATGGACATTAGTTTGAGCAAACTCTGGGAAATAGTGAAGGACAGGGAGCCCTGGCGTGCTGCAGTTCAGGGGTTGCAGAGAGTCGGACAGGACTGAGCGACTGAACAATAACACATCAATATAAAAAGTTCCTAATGGGATATTCCACACTTGTTTTGGTGCTAAGCCTTCAAAATCCAATGTGTATTCTACACTTGTGGTATTGGGCGTCCCTGTGGCTCAGCTGATAAAGAATCTGCCTGCAATGAGGGAGACCTGGGTTCGATCCCTGAGTTGGGAAGATCCCCTGGAGAAGGGAAAGGCTACCCACTGCAGTATCCTGGCCTGGAGAATTCCATGGACTGTATAGTCCTGGGGTCGCAGAGTCGGACACGATTGAGCAACTTTCACTTTCACTTCTCAGTTTGGGTAAGTCACATGTAAGGTCTTCAGTCGCCATATTGGTTAGTGGGTGCTATAGAGTTTGAGTCCGGACAGGAGACAGAGTTGTGCCTGGTGACTCAGAAGCAGGTTTCCAGTAGCAGTTAAATACTTGATTTTGGCCAACCTTCATGTGTTATCATCTGCCAAAGTTTTGGGATAAACCATCACTGTAACAATTTATTGTTTCTCAAGGGGAAAATCAAGCTTTCTGTGGTAGAATGCAACACTGTAAATTAAAAGGAATGCTTTTTAAAAAATTATGATGTTACGTCATGCTTTGATGCAATGTAATATGACAGGTTGTAATTTTTGTAAGATTTCCTTAATGTAAAGCAGGAAGTGAGTTTGAGGAAGTTTTCATTGACCAGGACTTGAGAGTCTGGGCCACATTTCAGCTGGCCACAGCAGCATGCCCCTGCTCGGACGGTGAGCGGCGGACTCCAGCCGGGTCTGTGGTCCCGCTCAGAGGGCGGGGCAGCGGACTCCAGCCGGGTCTGTGGTCCTGCTCGGAGGGCGGGGCGGCGGACTCCAGCTGGGTCTGGTCCTGTCTGGTGTGGTTTTTGCATGGTCCATTTGGGTTTTAGGTTTATTCTAAGAATCTCCCAGGGATTAAGAGGGAAATGAAGAGAGGTGTTTGCAACAAATCCACTCTACAGCATTATATGATATTGGATCTGGAGTCCCCGTTGGTCCATATGGCATGATTGGCAAATCAGTTTCATCTCAAATGGCAAACTAAAGAACTGGGACTTAAGAAGCTGACCCTAGTGAGTGATGCAGAATATTCAGCAGCTTCTGTTTGTATATTAATAGATGGAAGGGGTAGCAGGTAGGTGCCTGGCATTCCACCATCTTAGCTTCAGTCCTCAGGGCTTAAAATGCTTTGTTTTCAAGAGCCTGCAAAGGTGTGACAGCATAAGAATGATACCAGTTCCAAAACGTTCCCCATCCTTTCCACGCTCTTTGCCTGCTACAGAAGACTCTGGCTTCCCTAGGTTCTCTCTCTTCCCCTTTTCTGCCCTTCAAAGAGAGTCATATCACTTGGGTCTTTGCGGAGGAGAATAAAAAGGAAAAAAGAAGCAAGATAGAAATAGGTGTTTGTTGAATTGAGCAAGAGGTTGGTTTCAGAGTGGTTTGAGGTGAGAACCTGGGCTGTATGAGGCAGTGGGGAAACAGGAGACTATTTAAAGGATTATTTCTTGCAGTCAAATATAAAGGATTGGCATAATTCTGAAGTCAATTTGGCTTGCATGCAGCATGTTCCTTTAACTGTGACATGGATCAAGGACAACACAGGATTAATCCTGGGTCCCAACTTCAGAAGCATTATCTGTGGAGGTCACCTTGGGTCACACTTCAAAACTTCAAATTCTCATCAACCACTAGGAAGACTCACTCCACACACAAGTTTGGTTTTCAAGTCATCCTTGGGAAGATTCTCGTAGAGTCAAAATTACCCCTGAAAATCCCCAAATGAATTACTTAAAGGGGGCTTCCCAGGTGGCTCAGTGGTAAAGAATTCATCTGCCAATGCAGGAGACGCGGCTTTGATCCCTGGGTCAGGAAGATCCCTGGAGAAGAAAATAGTAACCCACTGTGTCCAGGGAAATCCTGTAGACAGAGGAGCCTGACAGGCTACATATAACATAGTCCATCAGGTTGCAAGAGTCGGACATGACTCAGTGACTAAGGAGTAACAACAACAACTGTGTAAAAATGCAGCATCTTTCAGTACAGGCCCAAGCCAGCCTGGTCTTCCTCCAGGGTCAGTAAGGTCACAGCTTCTCTGGTGGAACTCCAGATGGAAGAGCTGGCTTGGATTTACAGACACAAAATCTACACTCAGCAAGGTGAGATTCTCACCTGTGGGAGGGGGGTGGTAATGAGTGACAAGGGAGAAGCTCAGATTCACACCTCATTCTCACACCTGTTCTGGGCAGAGGCTCACGGAGGAAACTCACCTGCATTCGAGCTTTTCTTCTTTTCCGCTTCTCTCTCGGCCCAGCGCATCCTGTAGATTTGGCAGGAGCTGAATGCATGTAGAATGTGGCTCCTTGGCATGATATCTCCATGAACACCCAGGATGGCCTCATAGGCCCAAGACCTGGGAGGGGGAGGGCCAACAAGTCCCCACTGCAGGCTGCCCACTGCCCATCCTGCTAGCACAGAGGAGAGCCTCCAGGATGATTTTGGTGTGTGTGTGCGTGCTCAGTCGCGTCCGACTCGTTATGACCCTCTGGACGGTAGCCCGCCAGGCTCCTCTGTCCATGAAATTCTCCAGGTAAAAATACTGGACTGGGTTGCCATTTCCTACTCCAGAGGATCTTCCCAACGCAGGGATCGAACTCGGGTCTCCTTCATTGCAGGCCGATTCTTTGCTGTTTGAGCCCCCGGGGAAGCCCGTATGATTTTGGTGATTGGGAAGAAAAGTAAGCTAGAGTTTAAATGTGTTCTTTACTTCCAGGGCTGATTCCTAACTTCTAACTGAATACAGGCCCTGGGATGCAGACAGCAGGACAGATGCTGAGGCGTCACGTGTGTGTGCACCCTTCCTCTGGAAGCCAGCTAATAATTTCTCATTAGCAAGAACAAGTGAGGAAGACTGCGGTTCCACCGGAAACCTATTCACTGTGATACCTGAGGTCCATCCTCCCCGCTCAGAGTGAGGCCGGAGACCACACCGCGTGCCTTCCCGCCCCAGCCCAGATAGGTGACCTGGACACAGCCTAGACTCTGCGTGACCGTGGAGGGAGGAGGGATCCATCTGCCCCTGAGAACACAGGCCACGGGTGGGGGAAGTGTGCTTCTCCCAGCTGCAGCCGTGGAGACGACAGCCTCCACGACAGCCTCATTGTTTCCTTGCCAAATGTGATGTGACCAGTTGGGAGGAACCTGGCAAATTTCTCCTACATTCTGCCTTTTTCTGTTCTTTCATTTCACTGCAGGCTTTTTCTTTCACTTTTTGAGCTCCTTTCTATCTTGCTTTTTCCTCCCGAGCTGCCTTTGTGCAGCTGACAAAGGGAGGCTTGTGCTTTCGATGGGAAGAGAGGGTTATCTGCCGCCTTCAGTGCCGATGCTTGCTCTGTGAGTTCCCTGACACAGGGGGCTATTAGAGGCACGTGACAAGCATCTTCCCACCATCAGAGCCTCCCACCACCCGGCTCTCATCTGCTACGTCACAGGGCCTGCCGGGACCCCACGTGACAAGCTGCAGGAGCACTTGTTTGGGGGTGGGGAGAGCTGGAAAAAGAAAGAGCCCACCTGACCATGACCTTGATAGTCAGAGAGGGCAGAAACTTGTTTTTAGACATCCTGACTTCTTTAGATTTAAATAGTTTGTAGAATGGTTAGGCTGCAACATATCTAGACTTATCTTGCAAATTCTGTCAGTGGTCTAAGTTTCTGTGCTCTTGGATTTAGGAAATTGTACACAGTGGTGACATTAAAACTACTGAACTGTAGGCAGCAGCCGACCATAAGAGAAGCGCAGTCGGTCAGAAGAGGCGCTGGGAGGGAGCAGCCGGCATTGCCTGGCAGGCTGTGCATGCTGAGCACACCCTGTGCTGCCAGTGACCTGCGTGTGTCGCTGAGTTACACCGCCGTCTTAGACAGGGGCTTGGGTCTGTCCCCTGTGCTTAATGCCTGTCAAATTTATACAAAGCAAAGGACAGCAAGAGAAAAGCACTCTAAATAAAGACACTCATCAGTTTCAGTCCAGTTGCTCAGTCGTGTCCGACTCTTTGCGGCCCCATGGACTGCAGCAACGCCAGGCCTCCCTGTCCATCACCAACTCCTGGAACTTGCTCAAACCCATGTCCATCAAGTCGGTGATGCCATCCAACCATCTCATCCTCTGTCGTCCTCTTCTCCTGCCCTCAATCTTTCCAGCCTTAGGATCTCTTCCAGTGAGTCAGTTCTTCATATCAGGTGGCCAAAGTATTGGAGTTTCACCTTCCATCACTCCTTCCAATGAATATTTAGTACTGATTTCCTTTAGGTTGGACTGGTTGGCTCTCCTTGCAGTCCAAGGGACTCTCAAGAGCCTTCTCCAACACCACAGTTCAAAAGCATCAATTCTTTGGTGCTCAGCTTTTTTTTAGTCCAACTCTCACGTCCATGCATGACTACTGGAAAAACCATAGCTTTGAGTAGATGGACCTTTGTTGGCAAAGTAATGTCTCTGCTTTTTAATACACTGTCTAGGTTGGTCATAACTTTTCTTCCAAGGAGTAAGCGTCTTTTAATTTCATGGCTGCAGTCACCATCAGCAGTGATTTTGGAGCCCAAGAAATAAAGTCCATCACTGTTTCCGCATCTATTTGCCTTGAAGTGATGGGACCGGATGCCATGATCTTGGTTTTTTGAATGTTAAGTTATAAGCCAGCTTTTTCACTCTCCTCTTTTACTTTCATCAAGAGGTTCTTTAGTTCCTCTTCGGGTTTCTGCCATAAGGGTGTTGTCATCTGCATGTCTGAGGTTATTGATATTTCCTCAGTTTACTTAATGCTTAATGTCCCACACAGTGTGAGATGGGAAAGGAGAATTGGCTTTTCCTTTGTTGATTCCAGTTCCTGCATTTCACCCAGAGAGTGGGCAGCTCACCCTGTTTGCTGTGGTTCTAGCATTTAAAGAGACACACTGGTCATATAATATGGCCTTTACGTGTAAGTGAGCTCTAGAATGGACCAGAAAATCAACCATCTGGTTCAATTCTTTAGAAAAAGGGTCTGCCCTGGGCTTGCTGGGCTGTGGTGTGTAGGTATAGATGGTGCGTAGGTGTAGACATGACACCCTTCAAGGATAACCTGCACTGCTTGTAATTTGCACTTTCTGTGCTGCCTGGAGAACCCGGCTCTTGTGCAAGTTGTCTTGACTGTTTGCATCTTGTACTTGGCTAGCTGAGCGCGGCCCAAATCCAGGGAGGAGTGTGAACCTGCCTTCTCCCTTCTCTGTGCTGTTACACGAGTCCCCAGCCTAGGAAATGAGAGTCAACATGAGGCCGTTCAAAAGGGCCCTCTTATCAAGGCCCCCAGTTATTTCTTGGGGCTTCTAGACGCAATAATCCTCACATTTCATCATCCTGCCTCTTCCCATGATACTAAACGAAGATAACCCCACATTTCTGATGGTTCTGATTGTGCCCCTAGAGTAGAAATAATATGGATTGTGTGTCTGACATCTGCATCGTTCACTTCACACCTCCCGAAGGAATCTCTTAGTCCCTTAACATCTGGGTTTCCCACTTGCAAACAAACCCAAAATTACACCCGGATTAAGTTAGTCTTTCATCCAGATATATTGTCTCACAAATCTGGAAGGAGAAGACTGATGTTAGATTTATTTGTAGAACAAACACTACTATAGAGGTAGGTATTCCATCTTTTTTTTTTTTTTATTTATGTTTTGGGCTTGAATATTTTGGACAAATCTGATTTTAAACCAACTACCCCATCTAAAATTTTGATCACTAAGTAGATTTCAAATAGAATGTATTTGATAATGAAATTGTGTGTTTGATCTGTTGGCTGAACAATACTGGGCTTTTCAGAATTAAAGAATCCATTTATGATTTACCTACTTTAAATCATAAGAAATTGAATAGAATTCCCTTCTTTGGTTCCCAAGTGGATTTCATAACTAAAAAGTGGTAGTAAATAGAAAAAGACAGGAGGAAAATTTAGTTTCTCTGTACTAAGTGCTGTACTAGTCACCAGTATTAAATAAGGCTTGTTGATTCAATTTGAATTGAGAAGAGAAATGAATAGTTGGCATTTCTTATATTGATGACTACCACAAAGACCAAAATGAAATTTCTGATGAAGCCGAATAAAGGTCAAACTTTAAGAGACAATCGCATATGTATTTCAAATGGAGACCAGAAATGTTCCAAATATGATACCAGGAAGACACGTCTATGGTATGGAAACTATCACCTAGTCTTCTTAATAATGGTGCATACTTAAATATGTACTAGAATAGAATGTGATTCCAGGCGGAGTTTTGGTATTTCTTAGAAAACCGAAGCTATCTGAACTAACAGTTTGTGTTTCTGTTTGTGAAGGAACTGTAGAATAGTTACAGTGACTGACTCAAAGAAGAACTTTGAAATTTACATGTGCATTGGTTTTCCTTAGAAATAAATGGTAACTCAGAACCTTTCTTTAAACACACACACATATAAACGCACACCTTTGGTTCCTGATCAGTGTGACCTTCCTGTCAGTCGTGTTTTTGCTCAGGTGGAGAATCGCAGAAACCTGCTTGCACGTGTTGACCCAGGCGTGGTCCTTGTGTGGGGTCATGTTCATTCTAAAGAGGGCTGTGAGCAGCAGCCTTGATCCTTGCTCTGAAATGCCTTCCTTCCTTTAACTTCCAGGGGAGGGAAGCTGTGGTCAGGTTTGTCCCCCATGGAGTGGATCCTGGGGCTCCCGGAGGGCCTTGCTCGCTCCCTCCTCCTCTGGTCAAGCTCGCGGTGCTCACATGCCCTTACATCTGTCTCTTCTGCGCATGCATTTCTCGTCATGGACTGTGTTTCTGCCCTCTCTCTTTCTGGCCAAATACTAGTTGAAGTTCATGATGCAGCTTAAGCAACCAGCAACAAGGTGCTGCCCTTTGGTATTCTCATTGCCTGCAGGAAATAATTTGGTGGTAGCATGTCGGTAATTATTTTTCTACCAGTGCATCGCCCCACCTAATCTGTGTTCTTTTGAAGGGTGGAGGTTTGTCTTTTATCTTATTATCCCTGACATCTGCAGAGTCTAGAACATGGTGAGGCTCAATTAGACAGTTTAGTCAGTATAATAAATTATCTTTCAAATCCTTCCATTTTTTTCATTGGGGAAAAGTGTCTGGAGGTAGGCGTATTAACATACTGCCAGATTATTGGGCTGGGCATGTTTTTCTAACAGTGTAGTGTTTTACTCCATTGTTTTGGTTTATTGTCCATAATAATATTTAATTTTGTTTTAATATCAAATAGCATTTTGAAGGGCATATGGTGTTTTTTTGTTTGTTGTTGTTAAAGAGATGGATCCCATATTTTAAATATAAGAAAATAATTGGAAATATTCCTTTTAATCTTAATAGCAGCTAACGTTTATTGAGCACAGCCTGTGACCCAGATAATGTTGCCAGAATAGGTTCCTGGTACCGAGTGCCAAAAGTTGACTACTTACCCCTGGCTTGGGTGCATTTGATTGGCTGGAGAAGGTCACATGACTGCATCATAGCTGCAAGAATGTGAATGAATAGATTTTAGTCTATAGTTGTAGGTGGTCACTACTTTTCATCAAGATTCATTAGCAGGAATTCACCCACATCTATGAAAGAGGCTTCGTATTTGGGTCAGGCTAGGGAGCATGGCACCAGCTTCCACGCTGGCTGAGCAGTAAAGCATCTGCCTGCAATGCAGGTGGCCTGGGTTGGGAAGATCCCCTGGAGGAGGGCATGGCAACACACTCCAGTACCCTTTGAGAATACTGCCTGGAGAATCCCATGGACAGAGAAGCCTGGTGGGCTACAGTTCGTAGGGTTGCAAAGAGTCAGACATGGCTGAGCAACTTAGCACACACGCATACAGGAAGCATGGCAAATGGCCACGAGGTCTTATAAGCTATAGCAGGTGCTCTCAGAGTCCCAGCTCCGTGCCCTCACCACTTCGTTAGACACTGGCCTCATTTCCAACACCCAGGGTCTGCATTTCCTGGCCAAAGGACTTTCTTTCACTTCTGGATACTGGTTTACACTGGATGCAATCATGGCTGAGAAGGATTTATCTCTAAGTACTCAGCATGGCTGGAGAAGGAAGTAGCAACTGACTCCAGTATTCTTGCCTAGAGAATCCCATGGACAGAGAAGCCTGGTGGGCTACAGTCCACGGGGTCGCAAAGTCA